AGGTGACCACAATCACAGCACCTTCTATAATGTCTCTCCAGTTAATCTGCACATTCTATTGAGGGAACAGGATATATTTAGTTATTTCAAATATGAAAATGGTGTTTTATTTAAATATGGTTCTATATCCATGTTTAGTGGACATATGATATCCATCATTAAGTGAATGACTGAGGTTCTTGGTGGCGGGGGGGTGGTAATATACTCTTAGCACTATATCTAACATTAAAAAAAAAAGTACCCTCTTGAAATTCTTGAAAGCTGTGTCTTAGAGCTGAGTCACCCTTTTGGGGTGCCAACAAGTGAACGTATTGTGAAAAAGACAGGGGCCACGATCAGTAGGAAGTCCTCTTCCTGCCTTTGCCTTCCTGGGAGCCAGAGCTCAATGGGGCAAGGAGCAAGTTGCCCCCTCCTTCAGTGAGGACTCTCACTCAGAACCTCCATGAAGTTCTTTTGGCCTCACTTTTATTTTTAATGTTAGTGTATACACTCGGTCACTACTCCCCAGCACAGGAGTAGTGATACCATCACATTTGGATTTGGATTTGGATTAAGATCTGTTCCTTCTCTTCCTGCTATAAAGTAGAACTGTCAAGGTGGGACTTCCAGCTTTGTCTGAGTACGGGGTGTCAAATCCTTTCCCCAAAAAGTATCTATTAAAAGCTGGACGAAATTGATATTTCCGTACTCTAGAAATTGAACAAAGGTATCCACTATGGAAAGGGTTTACGTTTGAAAAACTGGGGCACAGTGGGTGTTTGTGGAGTCCTTTCCTAGGGGTGCACGCATGCCCCCACCGACTCAACTGGGTTAGAGCTTTGGCCAGGGCAGGACAGACTCTGAGGACGCTGACGGTCCAATGGGATTCGTTTAATTCGCAACAGTGGACAATGCCCATACCCAGAGAAGTCAGTGGAGGTGGCAATCTCAGAGGAGAAGCGGGGAGAGCTAATGGTACCACAAGCTGGGAATTGTGTGGCTGGACCAAGCGCATTCCTAGATGAGGCTGCATGCAGACGTGGAGGAGACCTGGAGAGGGTCTCGACAACACATTCACCACTGGCTGCCCCTGAGGCTGGACACAGGAGCCTGAAGAGACACAGTTGATTAATTGGACATCATCAAAATTAAAAGATGTTAAACTTCAAAAGACACGGCTAAGCAAATAAAAAGAAAAGCCAAAGCCTGAGAGAAAATATTTGCAAATCATATATCTGATAAGGCGCTTCTATCCAGAATACATAAAGATTTCTTACAACTCACTAAAAAGGAAAATAATGCCATTTAAAAATGGGCAAAAGAGGCTGGATGTAGTGGCTCATTCCTGTAATCCCAGCACTCTGGGAAGTCAAAGCAGGCAGACCACCTGAGCCCAGGAGTTTGAGACCAGCCTGGCCAACATGGCAAAACCCCATCTCTACTAAAAATACAAAAATTAGCTGGGCATGGTGGCAGGTGCCTGTAATCCCAGCTACTCAGGAGGCTGAAGTAAGAGAATCTCTTGAACCTGGGAGACAGAAGTTGCAGCAAGCCCAGATCACGCCACTGCCTCCAGCTTGGATGACAGAGCAAGACCCGGTCTCAAATTAATTAAAAATGGGCAAAAAGATATGAATAGAGGTTTTATCAAAGAAGATACACAGAAGGGAAATAAAGCACATGAAAAGACACACCACCACTAGCAATTAGAGAAATGCTAATGAAAATCACAATAAAATACCTCTATGCATCAGCTAGAATGTCTATAATTTAAAAGACAGATGATGGCAGGTTTGGGTGAAGATGCAGAGAAACTACAACCCTTGCATATCACAGCAAGAATGCAAGATTGTACAGCCATCTTAGAAAACAGTTTATCGGTGGTTTTTTGTTTTTTAGCCAGCACTTGCTCTGTCACGGAGGCTGGAGAGCAGTGGGGCAATCTTGGCTTACTGTAACTTCTGCCTCCCAGGTTCCAGTGATTCTCCTGCCTCAGCCTCCTGAGTAGCTGGGATTACAGGCGTGTGCTACCACACCCAGATAACTTTTGCATTTTTAGTAGAGACGGGGTTTTGCCATGTTGGCCAGGCTGATCTCGAACCCCTGACCTCAGGTGATCTGCCTGCTTTGGCCTCCCAAACTGCTGGGATTACAGGCATGAGCCACCATGCCTGGCCAGCTATTTCTTTAAAAGAAACTTACCATACAATCCAGCAATTCCTCCCCTAGCCATCCACACAAAAAAAATGAAGAAATGTCCATACAAAGACATGTATATCTATACACAATCACAGTAACATTCTTCATAAGAGCCCCAAACTGAAAAGAACCCAAATGTTCAACTGATGAGTTAGCAAATGTATTAATAAAAAGGAGAGTATTAAGATATGCAAAAACATGCCCTGTGCAAAGCATTCTGTATAATTCAACTTATGTGAAATATTCACAAAAGGCAAACTCACACAGACAGGAAGCAGATCAGTGGTTGCCAAAAGCGGAGAGTTGGAGTTGGGATTAACTGCAAATGGGCACGAGGAAACTTTTCGGAAGATCATGGAAGTGCTCTCAAACTGGATTTGGTGGTGGTGGCACAATGTTACATTATGTAAATTGTATCTCAATAAAGCTGCTGGGGGAAAAAAACCAAATAGAATATCTGACAATTCAAATGTGTTTGTCTTACCTGGGCTAGCTGAAACCTCTGTTTCCTTTTCTTCACGACTTTTTGAGATTTACTAAAACCAACTAAAAATATATTTAATAGGTTATTCAAGAATGTTCACCAAACTCCTTACTTGCCCAGGCCTCATCTGAAGCTTAAATGAACAGAAAATCATTCAAGCCACGTGTGGTGGCTTATGCTTGTAATCCCAGCACTTTGGGAGGCAGAGGCAGGCAGCTTACTTGAGGTCAAAAATTGGAGACTAGCTTGGGCAATATGGTGAAACCCCATCTCTACCGAAATAAAAAAAATACAAATAAATTGTACAAAAATTAGCCAAACATGGTGGCATGTGCCTGTAGTTACAGCTACTCAGGAGGCTAAAATGTGGGAGGATCACTTGATCCTGGAAGGCCGAGGCTGCAATGAGCCATGATCATGCCACTGCATGCCAGCTGGGGCAACAGAGCAAGACCCTATATCCAGAAAGAAAAAGAAAACAACAAAAAAATGAAAACAAAAGAAAAAAAGAAAATCATCTGGACACATTAAACTCAAGTTGGATGCACAGCAGAAAGTCTGAGAGTTAAACCCCAAGCCCTACATACCCTGTTCATGTTACAAGTTGAGAGAGCGCAGTTTGAAATTTCACTTTTGCCCAGGTACTATGGCTCACACCTACAATCCCGGCACTTTGGGAGGCCGAGGCAGGCGGATCACGAGGTCAGGAGTTCAAGACCAGCCTGACCAACATGGTGAAACCTCGTCTCTACTAAAAATACAAAAATTAGCCAGGCATGGTGGCAAGCACCTGTAATACCAGATACTCAGGAGGCTGAGGCAGCAGAATCACTTAAAGCCAGGATGCAGAGGTTGCAGTAAGCTGAGATCATGCCACTGCACTCCACTGTTGGCGACAGAGCAAGACTCCATCTCAAAAAAAAAAAAAACTTTGTCATTTCACTTTCACTAGGTGACAATGCGATCCTTTAGATGCGCTCTCCCTCAATAATTCTTTCACTCTCTTGAGTGACAAGGCTCTTGCTTCACCAGCCTATTCCTTTTGTACACAGTAGAGAACCAGACTGGATTCTCTCCATTCCTTCTGGAAACTCACTTTGCCATCATCAGGAAGTGTTCCATTCATCAAGTTTTACTAAATGATTATTGATGCTTATCTGATGATTTAAGAAGGTTCTCCATTTCTGTACAGGAAAACAATGAGATTAAGGTAGGAATGGCTTCTGATTTTGGTTAAATTACCTAGACCTGATTTTTATTTACAGCTACTACATAAAGATTCTCAAATCTTTACCCTCCTCAATGATTGAATTTTAAACTTTGTAAGTTTCAAGAAGGGGGCAGAAAGATCTGGCTATGGACTATTGTCTTATGGAGGTCAGATGGTGGTCACCTGTGTTCCCACACACCTGGTTTATATATCTGTCATCACCTTGATCAACATCCACTTCACATGACATTCACTTCTGTACCTATCTGTCTCTGTGACTAGGCAGAAAACTACTAGTTCTAAGATTTTGCTTCATGCGACAACAAAGCACAGTGCTGGGTCAGGTAGACATTTCAGGTTTGCTGCAGTGGATCAATGCTTTGTCCATCATTCAAGGAACACTTCCGTTACCCACCACCTGAAGCAGACATGGCCAAAGCGGTGGTTACTTTTCTGCTCCGTCCCATAACCTGTCATTTCTGATTGCAGACAGGCAATGGAAGAGGAGCAGATAGGAAGGATGGAAGTAAACTAAGAATTACTAATCAGCTACTCAATGCTGGACAATATGAGTTTTCAATGAATCCTTAAAACAACCCTATTAGCTAGGAATCATGAGGCGCAGCTTAGAACTCTGCAAAATAAAAGCTCTGGGGAAGGGGACAGGAGATGTCCAAGAGGCAAGAGGGAATGTGTACAGCTGGGTCTTGAGACCAAGCTCCAAGCTTTGTGTATTTGTTCAGAAGATGGAGAGCCTACAGAGAGCAGGCATCATGCCAGACAGTGGGTACACAGTGGCCAACCCAACCAGACATCATCTGGCCTGTGTAGAGCTTAAAGCTCTAAGAAGGGGCACACATTATTCAAGAGACTCACAAAAATACACGTGTAATTACAAACTGTGCTGATGCCATAAAAGTTCAGTACTCTTTGTATTAAGAGGACACTGCCTCTCAACAAATACAGATGTTTGGTAATCACCAGAACTTATTTTATTCCCAGCCCTGAAGATGTCACTGTAGGTGCTGGTGATGGGATGGACATGGCACAATACTTACGTATATCCGTCATTATGTTGTAAACACTGGTTTAATACTTCTTCTCCAATGAGAAAATGGCACAACAAAGTCGAAATATGATTTCGGTTTTATTTTCCTATCTGTTTCAGTAAAAGATTCAGAGAACTGATTGACACGTATCATAGGCTATCACCCATATATTTATACCCTAAATATACACTGTTTATGCTTTTTCTTTTTTATGGAATAGGTGACACTACCTTCGTTCAAACCAAAGTGAAAATGAAGAGATACTATAATTTTTAAAAGAGGGGTGTGTGGTCTTTTACTCTCAGAGAGTGAATGTGCATCACCACCACAAGGGGAAAGCACCGAGGAAGAATGGGCACCCCACAGGTCAGAGTCCAACAGGAGGTACCAGTAGAGTACCTCCAAAATAACAAATCTGGACCAATTAGGCATTCCTGTGATTCCTAGCTTTTCATTTTTCTACCACCGCATGGCTACACTGGAATTTAAGCCATTTTCACAGTGCAAACATCAAAATGATCCAAGTCAGGGTTCTATGGCAATCTTCTGCTAAAATATATTCTATTTTAATATACATGCTATCAAAGTATGCCTAAAAGGTCGATCTTGAGAGCTCTGTTAAAATCAAGAATTTGCTTTTTTAAACATATAGAATAATGTACATTCAACTCTAAAAGTACATTTGAGAAAAGCTATTAATGTGATCCCAAATATTTCTAGCTTCATATTTGGTTTTAATAACACTGATTTTATAACACACATATTCAGTAATGCTTTCTTATAATTCTGTATCTCAATGCCTTACCAATTATTTTAAATAAAAATGGGGGGGGAGGATCTGCGAATCTCAAGAGTTCTTTCTCATGCAAACTACTAAGTTTTTAATGTAAGTTCTTATCACAAAATTTTCATTTTATTTAAACTTTGATAGCCTAAATTTTTTATGACCAATATTTGAAGCTGTAATGGGAAAAAGGAAAACACAAGATGTTGAAAATTAAACTTGTAGGTGGCCTAATTTTAAAAGTGATCATTCCCTTCTATAACATTTCCAATACCAAATTTAGATTTGTATGGATAGTGTGAAATACACTGGCTGAACACATGCCTTGATGATGAATGTATGCCCATAAAATGGACTCTTGGTACTGAGTGAATCTATGTCTAATCACATGTACATTTGACAAGGCTGCTGGCTGACTGCGTCAGTGGAACCCAGGTATAGCTGCAATCTTTTGTTTTAGGTATAGTAGTCAGGCGGAAATATAAAATAATGGAAAGTTTTTGCTGATTTAAACAAAAATATTTACTCTTTTCATTAGCAAAACATTATTTAAAATATATCTATTTCTCCCCTCTGAACATTTAACTAGGAGCATTGGGCAATTTTTGAAGGTTTAGTACTGACTGTTTAATACAATAAATATAGCTGGGAGAGCACACGGCAGCAGTAGCTTACATACGTTCACCGATAAGAAATTTACTCTCATCTGGTTAGTGTCCAGTCCACCAAAGGAAAGGTTTGGCATTCGTGTGCTTTTTGTTCTTGGTAGGAATCAATCCTGCTTGATTTTCATTCTTGGAAGAAAAAATAATCAGCTGATATCCTCAGATTTTACGACATGATGCAAAAGAGCAATGGGACAAAGGTGACCTACGACCAAAAAGCTGGACTGGGATCGGGTCTCCAGGCAGATCTTCATTCTTGCGAGGCAAGTCTACAAAAAGCTGCACTAGAAGCCAGCAGTGAGGCGTCAGGGACGTGGGGGCGGGTCACTCCCACTCGAGTGAGTATCTCCTGCTCCACTACAGCCACAATCCCGACTCTCTACCCTACAGAACCATGGAAGCCAGTTCACAGGGAAACAAGGAATAGTGAAGCACATGACTAGAGAAGGCCCAGGCCACAGGTCATTGTTTTAAGCGGCCTCCTGAGCTACTGTCCTCTGTTGAGATAATCTGCAGAGGATCTGTACACTGTGTTCTTCATAGCAGAATTCTTCGTTGCTCTTGAAAAGTTTCTGCGAGGCTGTGCTTTTCCAAACAATTTTATCAGAAGTAGTTTGATAAAATTAAACTATTTCTTTCCAACGAACCAATCATGGCAAAAATTTCAGGCTCCCTCCCCTGAATTTTAAAACTACCTAAAGGCAGAGTATTTTCCCCTGGCAAATGATTACTTCTTTGAAAAGTAGACGATCTTTTTTTTTTTTTTTAAATCCAACTAAGCCCTTTAGGAAGTACTCCAGACTACACGAAGAGGAAGTGCAGGAAAGAACTGACTTCCTATTGTGCCTTACATAAAACATTTTGCTAAAATTAAGAGCAGCTCCAAGTGCAAAAGTAAATATTTGTGCAAAAAGGCACACTGCCAGGTGCAGTCTTAAAACATCCTCAACTTACTCATTTTATAGTGTTTGACTCTTTAAAATACCAGTCTTTTAAATTACAAAAACTAGCAAGTAAGGGGAAGGAAGTTCACATCAGAAAATACACTTTAGAAAAGGTACAAGATATTTTGCTGGCAATTTGCTACTTATTTCATAACATAGATCAAGTAAGTGTTCGTTAAATATTCACAGCAATTTCAGAGAGAAACATGTCTCCAAAACTTCAATCTATTGCATTTCTAACTATTTTTCTGTATAATTACAAAACATCTGTCAGTGTTTTTCTGCAGAATTCCTTCTTGTCAGTCTTTCCCTCTCTGGATCCAGTTACACCTTCAAGGCAGGTTGTAGGATTCCTTTCTCAATGAGATGAATCTTCAGGGTTTTATATATATTTAACTGATGTTCTGGTTGAAGCACCAACAACTGCTGTAGCACTTTGCTGGGATTTGGGCCCCTGATGATAAGGCAAAGAAGACGAGTTCATGCTATTTTAATAAAGACAAGGGAAGCATATACCCCTCAATTTACAACAAACCATTCCTTTAAGTGTAGAGTAGCAATCTTTACAGAATTAAAACAGTTCTTGATAACAGCTCACTTAATGTGCAGTTATTGTCAAGGGGATAAACAGAACAATTCTGCTTTGAGAAGCATACAGCAAAGAGGTAGAAAGAATGCACAAACACAAAACACAGGAGCAATCAAAGGCAAATGAAGGGGTGCAAATCTAAGCTCTACAAAAGTTCTCGAAAGGGCAACCTAAGTTAAAGGTCGGGATAAATGGCAAATCCTGAGACTGAATGAGACACAGGAACTATTCTGTAAGAAAAGGAGCCTGGTAAACATAGGACAAACCAAAAAGAGGACATGAAAATATAACTTAAAATTTTAACTTGAAAGAAACTTCAGATGATGAAAGGTACTTTGTTGAAAAGTATCTCCAGGGAGCTATGGATGTTCAGAGTCAGAACACAAAAGTCCTGAGCCTAGCACTGAAGCCCCTACCAGTGATACAGGTAGGTGCCATGGCTTTCGTTAAAAAAAAAACTTAGGTAAACTCCAATATAAAAAACAAAATCAAAGCACATCTGCTTTAAAATCCAATGGGAAAAAACAACATACAAGTAATGTATAGGGACAGCACAGAATTCTAAGAAAGACATCTATGTCGGTAAATAAACGTATGACTTACAATAAAGACTGTTCACATAGAATTATAGGAAGTAAAAATCCCAGCAACAAAAAAATGTCTGCTACTTAGTGATATCACAATGAGGATGAGTAGAGTAACTATTTACTCTGAAAATCTCTGACTTAACAAATCGAAAAGAGCCCAGATGAGCCATTCCATGGGTCCTCTTCATGCATGTGGCTCAACTCATCTGCCAAAAAACTGTGGCCATGTGCCTTTCACACTCAGGTCAGGATACTGTTCATCTTACTTCATTTCTTTAAAAGAGTCAGCAACTTCGCAGCATAAACCCAGAGCAGGGGCCCACAGAGAAAAGGAAGGCTGCTGTAGCAAGTTCAGCGAAATGCAAAATTGTGTCAGCAGGTGCTCCCAGCTAGTTTCCTCCTAACACTTTCACTGTCTTCTAACAGTCTAAGTATCTGCTTTCAAATGGTGGACAACATGGCTCAGCATGACATCTTCCTACTAAGAGAAGAGCATTTTTTTAAAAAAAGGAAGTGTATGAGTTAATGCCCTAAAAAGCTACCATATTCTGAAAACAAAGTTCTAAGGATTTAACCACTAATTACTAATGCCCAAATAGATCAATAAATAATATGCAAATAAGTTAAATACTCCCACTAAAAGAATAAAGACTGTCAACTGTGTTATAAATAAAACGGGAAAAAATCAGCTATATGCTTGCTAGAAAAAATAAGTACACATTAAATATAAGGAAAAAGAAATGTTAAAAGGAGAGACAAAGAAATACCACACAAACATTGACCAAAAGAAAACTGACATTGCTATTCTAATTTTCAACAAAGTAGGCTTTAAGGCAAGCATTAAAGACAGGTATTATATAATGACAAAAGGAACAATTCAACAGATATGACAATCCAAAATTTGTACACACCTAATACAACCTCAAAATATATAAAGCAAAAATTGATAAAACGACAAATAAAAATAGATATATTTACAATCACAATGAGAGACTGTAACAAAGCTCTCTTAGTAACTGATAGGACAAGCGGACCAATCACAAAAACAAAAATCAGTACAGAAGATTTAACTAAACCTCACCTCACACACACAAAACTACAACCAAAAACTACAGTACCAGAACAGATAACATGCTGTGCCAGAAAGCAGATCTCAAAATTATAAAATACTGAAATCATAGAGTATGTTTTTTGACCACAGTGGAATTAAGGAAGAAAAGTGAGAAAATCTCCATTTGTTTGAAAACTAATCAATACACGTCTAAATAACCCACGTGTTAACGAAGATGTAATACTGGAAGTCAGAAAATATATGTAACTGAATAAGGAAAATACAAGTATCACCACTTGAAGGGAATATAGCAATATTTAATTTAATAGTCTTCAACGGACAGATTAGATAAGAAGGCTAAAAATCAATAAACTAAGTTGTATCTCCAGAACTAAAAAAAGAACAGCAAATTGATCATTAAAAAGGACAAGGGAATGAAAGATGAGAGGAGAAATCAATTAGGTAAAAATATATAGTAGAGAAAATTAACAAAGACAGAAGTTGATACTTTTGAAAAGATCAATGAAATTCATAAACTCCTATCAAGGCTGTCTCAAAAATAGTTAATATAAAAATTCTCACACTGCTGTGGTACATATTTAAAATGTGTATTTAGGAATCTCTAAATAGGAATTTCCTTCCAAGCACTATGAAGAAAATTCATGTTTCCTATGGCTCAGGCACTATTAATAACTGTTCTGCTTCTGGGCCCCCAGTAGAGAACACAGAAAATAAAGTTAACATGTGGTTGATGTGGTTAGCCTTCACACCCAAACTGGTATTTCAAGGCAGATCCAAAACATTAAGGTTAAATAACAAGAATAAACCACCCTTTATAAAATGGCAATATTCAGCCTCCAGCCAGCCCCTATACACACAAGCGTGATCCCTTTGGCCTGCTTTATTTTGCTCTGTGACACTTACAACCACCTAACAAACTATATTTACTTGTTTGTTGTCCCTTTCTCATTCTTCCTTCAACTTCCAAATGGGAAAATATGAAGCCAGAGATTTGGTTTGTTTTGTCCCTAGAACATTCTATAACATGGCAGGCACTCAAGTGATAATTGGTTGACTGGATGCATTTCGTTAACTTCCTTTTTTTTTTTTTTTTTTTGAGACGGAGTTTTGCTCTCGTTACCCAGGCTGGAGTGCAATGGCGCGATCTCGGCTCACCGCAACCTCCGCCTCCCGGGTTCAGGCAATTCTCCTGCCTCAGCCTCCTGAGTAGCTGGGATTACAGGCACGCGCCACCTTGCCCAGCTAATTTTTTGTAGCTTTAGTAGAGACAGGGTTTCACCATGTTGACCAGGATGGTCTCGATCTCTTGACCTCGTGATCCACCCGCCTCGGCCTCCCAAAGTGCTGGGATTACAGGCGTGAGCCACCGCGCCCGGCCCCTTCCTTTTTAACTCTTAGTATTTGTGAAGTATTCATGATCACTGCCATGCCCACCGCTGAGAAATTAAATCTCCTCAAGTCTCAAATCCAATACCATCCACATTAACTGGGTCTTCAACTTGGTCCAGGACCATGACAGATACTACAGCTTTTTTAAGTTGTTCAACTGTAGGTAAAACAATCACAATTTAAGCACCCTGCTTAAGGTTCTAATTCCAGTTGCCACCATTCGCTTTCATATTGTAGATTACCACTGATGAAAAAAGATAGCTTACTCAAACTAATGGTGATAGAAATGAGAACTCAAAGAAATCATCTAAAAAATGTCTTAAATGTAAAAGTACCTTATAAAACTTGCGATGTACACATGTACAAAAGTTGCCATCAAATACTGACAATCAAATCTGTCCATTATCCCACCATGTCCAGGAATGGTATTTGCAAAATCCTTTAGAAACAAACAAATATATTAGCAAACTTTCAAAAAATCACCTGCTACAAAATTCCTGCCTGTGTATCTTTGGGATCATGGACTCACTCTAAGGAAAATATATTACCATTGGATTTTGTTTTTTTTTCTAAATAAGAAGTTACTAGAACACATCCAGCAGATTAAAACCACCATCTTCCAAATACCTGCTTCTTTTAGAATTATTTCTGAATTGACCCACAGCATTCAAACATTCATTAAACATTAAATCCAGCACTTATCTTTCTCATTAATGAAGCTTTTTCTAAATAAAAACTATATTAGCAATTACTAATCTAATTTTGTTATAGCTTTCTTAATCACAAGCTGTTTGGGAAGCTATTTTAGTGCTGTTAAAAGATGTACAACTGGTTCTAACTTGTTTATACTAATAGTTCTTACTCAAACATTTTACTACTATGATAAATATTTCTTCTTAAGTGTTAAGAGTAAAAAATAAAATTACGGTTAGCTCATCTGGGACACATTAGTCCATTAAATGGCCACACTGAGGGAATGGGTAGTAAGCCTCTGCAAACTGGTCCTGTACAGGTAGATTCACACGTCTGGGTGCCCAGGAAATGAACTGATTGCTCTTCTAGTTTACTCAGGCACCCCAAAATGTCTGAAATACAACAGCAATAGCTGCTTCATTTCCAACATGCAAAAAATTCTCATCATTTAACAAAAAACCTTGGAGACCATTAAAGAAAATACTGTTAAAATATAACTTTTTTCTTTTTAAAACAATAAACAATTACTGAAAATATCTTTCGTTAATTATTGTAAACCCATTTCCTTCCTTCTCTTCCTTACTAATCAAAGCATAAGAAAGCCACACTAACGCAAGGCCACTCTGCTGTTACAGCCTCTACAAGACACTCTTCCTGCACCACTGTTGCTGTAGTTCTCTGGGGACGTGTATTACCTTCCCTAGTAAGTGGTGAGCATCATCTTGTATATTTGCGTATACTGCATTGCACCTTACGTAGTAACTGCCCGCTGGCAAATGCTTGCCAAGTTCATTATTCCCTGCCCTATCGGCCGCGTGTGATCTGGCCCCACCAAACTCTGCAGTCTCATCTCCTACTCTGGACCACAGCCACACTGTTCTTGCTCACCTTCCAACAGGCTAGGCTCCCCCACTCCTCTGTATGCTCTGGAACTCTCAGTCTTCTCTGCAAGACTTCTTTTCTCAAATCTCTGCTTAAGTGCCACCTCCTCAGAGAGGCCTTCCCTGACCACCCAACCTTCAATAGCCACTCTCTAACCCTGGATGGTGCCTCAGCCATATGAGGGAGACCGAGATAAAATTGCTGAGATAACATGTCACTTTATGATGATCTAACCTAATACACAGGGATAATTTTAAGTCTCTGGAACAGGGGTGAGAAAAGTATGTCCCACAAATCAAATCCAGTCCATGACCTATTTTTATGAGTAAAGTTTTATTAAATCTAGCCATGCCCATTCACTGACATATTGTCCATGGTGGGGAGGGCTTCACACTGCCACAGCAGGGCTCAGGGTTGGGAAGCTGTAATAGAATATATGGTCTGCACATCCTGATAAACTTCCTGTTTGCCCTTTACAGAAAGAGTGTGATGAGACCTGACTTAGCGGAACGGGCAGTTACATAGCCAGAGGTTCTTCTGTGTGTCCCTTCAAGTGAGACTGTGGCAAAACACTAAACTTCAGATGATTCATGGCTGGATTCTTCGGTGAGCACTTGAAAGACCAAGATTCGGCCAGGCGCCGTGGCTCATGCCTATAATCCCAGCACTTTGGGAGGCCGAGGCAGGTGGATCACAAGGTCATGAGATCAAGACCATCCTGGTCAACATGGTGAAACCCCGTCTCTACTAAAAATACAAAAATTAGCTGGGCATGGTGGCGCACGCCTGTAGTCCCAGCTACTCAGGAGGCTGAGGCAGGAGAATTGCTTGAACCCAGGAGGTGGAGGTTGCAGTGAGCCGAGATCGAGCCATTGCACTCCAGCCTGGGTAACAAGAGTGAAACTCTGTCTCAAAAAAAAAAAACAACCAAGATTCTGGGTCTAATCCAACACTAAAAGGACACATGCCATTTCTATAAAGGAAACTGACATGACACTTAAAATGTATTAACATGGTATGACAAACCTAACAAGAAAGAATACATTAAGATCAGCATGGCAGCATTTCTGTGAGGCCGAAACAGATAGGATATAAAAGTTGTTGCCTAAGGGCTTAATGTAGATCATGAGTGAACCAAATTCCAGCTAGGTTACATTCTCTAATTATATTCTCTAATAATATATCAAAGAATCTAAACACACACCTTGATTTTGAAGGCCCTTTTGAATCCACTGGCAAAGAAGCCTCCGAATGGGCCAATTAAAGATGCAAAGGTTGACAGAGCAATGCTGTGGATCTGGAAAGGGTACAAGCTCACTCTTTCCTAAAGAGGAAAAAGAAGGGGACAAGAGGGGCTAACTTCATTGAAATTGTATTTGAGCATGCACCTGATCCATGAACCATGATATACATAGTAAGTCAAAGCACACACCACATTAATCTTTCAAACTTTAAGGATCATGGAAGAAAAGCCTATTGTAAGCCTTCTGAACCATCCTCTACTTAGACAGCATCTTCCTTCTCTCTGTAAGCATAATGACAGGAAAGTGGCACACTGAAATCCTGCACCTTGGTAGACTACCTCCCAGGTTGTCTAGGAACCTGACTTCTTACCAAGAGTCAGCTGAGTTATTTTCCAAATTTGTTTTTTTTTTAAATTAACTAGTAATACTTTGTTTTTGTAATCATATAATTTAATATTGTATTTTATTTCACTTTAATTTTGTATGATGAAATAAGAGAAAAGCTGGACTTTTCTCTAAAACTAAGATGAATGCTGTGGAAAAACACAAAAATAAGTTGCTTAAAGAAGATTATCAAAATCAGCATCAGTGAGACAATAACTAAAGATTTGGGGAGACAATCGTAAAAACTGAGAAGAATTCTGTAGTCAAAGTATTTTGCAAATTTGTAGTTCTTGCTCCTTTTTAAATAATCTAAAACTGCAACTTATAGACAGTACAAAATGGGTGTGGTTGAAGAAAGATGTTTGTGACACCAATTATTTCTTTTTTTTTTTTTTTTGAGATGGACTTTCACTCTTCTTGCCCAGGCTGGAGTGCAATGGCACAATCTCAGCTCACTGCAACCTCCGGCTCCCAGGTTCAAGTGATTCTCCTGCCTTAGCCTCTCAAGTAGCTGAGATTGCAGGTGTACGCCACCAGGCCCAGATAATTTTTTGTATTTAGTAGACACAGGGCTTCACCTTTTGGTCAGGCTGGTCTGGAACTCCTGACCTCAGATGATCCACCCACCTCAACCTCCCAAAGTGCTGGGATTATAGGCACGAGCCTCTGTGCCCAGCCAAGACACCAATTTTTTGACCAGTTCTCAAAGCAATAGCCTTGCTCCTAATCAAAGACTGGCAGTATAAAAAGTTTTATAGCAGGTAACAGATGTCTTGGACATTGAAAAAGTTCTTGAAAACCATGTACTAAGAACTCAAAGAGAAATAATTAATCTGCTTCTCAAAAATTAAGAATTTTACTTAAAAATAAAATGTTTCCGATACAAATATGTGTGTGCAAAGACACAGACACACACTCACTTTAACCAGCCACTCACCAGACCTGACGACACAGATCAGGAGGGTTCTACTGGAGAGCATGTCAACGTCCTCCAGTGTAAGGCCTCCAATATACCTTTAAATGAAGGCACTGTGCATTTGGAAGGAAAACTGATTTTTAGAAGCAGCAACTTTCTGCACTAATAAATGTCCTCTAAAAATCAAGGACTCGGTAAACTCGTGAATTTTTACTTAAGTTTTAAATTGAGTCAATTGATGTCATAATATGAGAAACCCATTCTAAACCATTTGTTTCATTTGATTTGCAACCTGTTCTCATCCATTTGATTTAACCTAACACTAACACCGCTCCTATATCAAAGAGTTAAAATTCTACAGAAATCAGTTTCTTGTACAAATGTGAATCCCACTTTTAAAGAAAGCTTAATCTTCAGGCCAGGCACAATAGCTCACGCCTGTAATCCCAGCACTTTGGGAGGCCAAGGCAGGCCGATCACTGCATACAGACTGGCCAACATGGCGACACCTGTCTCTGCTAAAAATACAAAAATTAGCCAGATGTGGTGGCGTGTGCCTCTAATCTCAGCTACTCGGGAGGCTGGGGCATAAGAATTTCATGAGCCTGGTAGGCAAAAGTTGCAGTAAGCTGAGATCTTGGCACTGCACTCCAGCCTGGGCAACAGAGGGAAACTCTGTCTCAGTAATTAAGTAAGTAAGTAAATAAAAAATAAAGGAAGCTTAATCTTCAGAGTGGAAGAACTCTAACCATGTTTATCTTGAACTTTTACCCTACCTGTCTCAACACTGCCTTTAGAAAGGGTGGAAGTGAATAATTCCGAAGCTGGAAAAGTTCTGAGGGCTCACATTCCGTCACAAAGGAGTTTACATCACTTCGGTATTCCACTGGGCAGACAAAGTACTGGTATTTGGATAACACATAGGCAGCCTGGTGTCAAAAGAAAAAAACAAAGCAAAAGTTCATGGCACATTGACTAAATATAAAAGCTATATATCAGAAAGGCCCAGAGGTAGAATGCCAGAATTTCCTTAATATTCTGCTAACTTTGAAAATGCTACATATTTTCAAAGTTAGATGGTCATAATTATCCTAGTAAAAGACTTAAAAGATCTTTAGAAAAGGAAAGTTTTTTGAATTACTGAGATTGTAATCTCTACATGATCACAATTATAATGGTACAGGAGAACAAAGAACTGCAGTATACCGCACACAAGCTTTTATTAATTTCATCAGTTAATAATTAACCAGTAATTCAAAATTACAATGAAAATAGTACAAAATAGTAAGGTGAAAAACACATTGTTCTTTTTTTTTTTTAATTGTACTTTAGGTTCTGGGGTACATGTGCAGATCATGCAGGATTGTTGCATAGGTACATACATGGCAATGTGGTTTACTGCCTCCATACCCCTGTCACCTCTATCTGGCATTTTTCCCCATGTTATCCCTCCCCTACCTCCCCACTCCCTGCTGTCCTTCCCCTAGCCCCCGCCAACAGACCCCAGTGTGTGATGCTCCCTCCCTGTGTCCATGTGTTCTCTTTGGTCAACACCCGTCTATGAGTGAGAACATGCGGGAAAAACACCATTGCTCTTAACCAACCCAGAAAACTTTGATTGAATTATTCTTTCCCTGGCCATATCACTGCAATTTTTAAAAGTAGCTCTCCTCAGCCTTGGAAGTAAGGTACATAAAATATGCTGTTATAAATGTAAATTGCTACACGACAATTTATTCTCTTTTTCTTGCAGCCATTCACCCTATTATTCTGCTCAAGAATTATTAATAGAAATTCAAGACACTAGGAATGAATATAAACTAATTTTGCTTCCAAACAGCCAGTTTATTTTACATATGTAATTTCATATAGATGTGAAATTTCTTTTCTCATTATTTTGTCATGCATTACATAACTTATGGGGTAGCTCCTAATTTTCTTCCAATGATATGGCTATTCCTGTGCTGTTTTCAAGTTAGTCTTTAATAACAAATTCTTATAATATTTAACTTCATAATGTTTAACCGTTCTCGCTTTGTAATGTAAAAACATTGGATGAGATTGGATTCTTTTGCATTCTTTTGTCAATTATTATCCCATCAATATTCTACAACAAAAATGTTAGAATAATTTTATCACATTTTATTAAAATGTTCATTGCGAATGAACTATATTTATAAATTAAAAGGAGGAATTCTGGTGTTTTTCCCATCCAGGGTCATAGCATATTTCCATTTATTTGTATATTCACTCTCTCAAAGCTTCATGTTGTTACTAGGTACTCTAGATTTGGATACGAAATGTAACTACAACTGTGGGAAACTAGGAAAAATGAAGCTTCCTGACAGTACTTTTTGTGTATTTATCTTATATCCAGCAATGGTACTATACTCTCATTCTCCCCAGACACCTTTTAATAAAAATCTAAATTGTATAACTGTAAACTAACTTGTAAAACATGAACAATAGCTATTTAAAATGCTAAAAGCGAACATTAATAATTTACAGTTAACAGGCTGTTTCTGCAAGTTGGGTCCACAACAGTAACCACCCACTGAGCCAAGTGGCCACCATGTGTTTAAGAAAGCAGAGCTTTTCAATAGTATTTGCCGCCTCTGCTATTACTCAAAGCCACCACCTGTCCTAGTACTTGTGCCCCACCTAAGGCAGAATAGCTATTAGTATTTAACTAACAGGTTAAACGTCCCACTTAAGGAAGAATAGCTGTTAGAAACTACCAAACACAACAGCAAAACAGCAAGTCAGCAAGACAGCTTGATGTCCATTAGAATTACCTGGGGCAGTTAATTGGCCTGGGATAAGGCTGAGACATAGATTTTGTTTAAGCTTCTCAGGGGATTCTATTTGCAGCCAGGATAAGGGCTACTGCTTCTTTTTAGTAGATTTTGATAAATACATTATTAGCATTTTGTGGTTTAATTTTTCTACGTTTAAAATAGACTAACAAGCTTGGTTTCTTGACAAATCTGATAACAATTATGCCATAGGGAAGGGACAGACACACTTTCTCCTAGCATAATTCATATCATTTTTCAAAATGTATATAAAATAAAAATCTTAGTAATACTCACAACGAATCCAAACACAACTGTGGAAAAGAAACCACCAATGAATCCTTCCCAAGTCTTTTTAGGAGATAACTAAAAAAAAGGCAAATAAAATTAAAAAGCATTACTGCACTCAACAAAACTCACAATATATATACAAACTCTATGCAATGAGTTTCCTCAATACCTTCTACATCTCTCCTTACTTTTTCTCTTATTGGAATAGTTTAAAAATCTTTTTCCTTTGTTCTCTGATTTTGATTTACTAGTGAAAATCTCTCTAATAATATTTAAACACATAGTAGGCCCTCAAATACTTGACATGCCATGAATGTGTTTGTTCGTGTTAAATGGCCTAAATTTATTTGTCTCTCAAAAGACTATAAACTCTAATGAAGTAACTGTCCCATGACTTTCATGCTAATATAAATCCTTATAATAGTTGGTATAAATTCTTGGAATAAGAATGAGATACATTAATTCCAACTACACACAGGTCTATCGGCCAAAAATAGAATGAGTACAACAAAACATGGACATTTTAGCACACATAATTTTCATATATTCCTAATACGCTATATACACACAGACTTCCTTCTGATATAGCAAAACACTCCAGAGCCCCAGATACTGTATTTGCTCAGGTATTCACATATCCTTCTTTTTTCACAATCCATGTCCATCTCCAAGAAGAAAGGAACATGTTGTGCTTCTAAGAAGAGATATTGTTTGTGGTGGAATCAGGCTATTTCTGCCCAGTCAATGGGACAACGATGGAGAGAAATCTGGAAAAAATCTAGATGTTAGTGGTGTCGGGGCAGGAGGAAAAGATTTAGAAGTAGAAGGTGCAAGTTGTTGCCAGAGGAGGGAATGACTGTGGTGTGTGGGGATTTGGTCATCTAGTCATTAATGAGGGACAGAAACCAAATAGCAGAATGAAGTCTCTGAAAACTAAAATAGGTTATGGGCTAACCTATAGGAGCTCTTCATAGACCTCTTGTCCTGATATTCATAAAGCCTCAAACCAAAACATATGGCAGAAATGGTTTCCTGACCAATCTGATAATAATTATGCCATAGAGAAGAGATGGACACACCTTCTCCTAGGGTAAGTCAGTATCAATGCCGTAGAGTAGGAGCAGACTCAAATTCAAAGGTGCCTGTTGATTATTTTAAGGATAGCTTACCAAATTAAATTGATGCACATCACATCTATTTAGGGGTTAACTGTTCAATTATTTAAGTATATTATACAACTAATCCAGCCTGATAAATTCACTAGAAGGCTGTGTTCAAAATCAGTCTTTTCCACAGCTGTAACAGCCTTTTTGAAGGCTTCTGATATGGTTTGGATCTGTATCTCCACCCAAATGTCACGTCAACTTGTAATCCTCAGTGTTGGAGGTGGGGGCCTGGTGGGAGGTGACTGGGTCATGGAGGCAGTTTCTAATGGTGAAGCACCATACCCTCTACTGCTGTCCCATGAGTTCTCATGGTACCTGGTTGTTTAAAAGTGGGTGGCACCTCCCCACTCTCCCTATTCCTTTGGCTCTGACCATGTAAGATGTGCCTGCTTCCCCTTTTGCCAAGATAGTAAGTTTCCTGAGGCCTCCCCAGCTATGCTTCCTGTACAGTCTGCAGAATCATGAGCCAATTAAAACTCAGGCATTTCTTTATAGCCGTGTGAGAATGAACTAATACAGCTTCCCAAGCAGAAAACTTGTCAGTCAGGGTAGAACTCTTGAATACATAAATCATGTGCTCTGGAGCGGCTTTAGAAATATTTAAAAAATATATAGCTTGATTGCCAGTATCCTTATCCAGCTCAGCCCAATGCTCTTTGAGTGCTGATACTCTCAGCAGATGCTCTTTGTGAGCTCCTAGAGTTTACAAAGGTTTCTGGAAGAACAGGCAGTCCACAAATTCCTGTAGTAATGCAAAACTACCCTCATACCACTCTGAACAAACAGAAGGCTTTATATCTGAACAATTATTTCAGTCCCTCCAAACTGCCTTCATATAACAACATCAAAACAGCCAAGTAATAATATGTCTGTGAGAATATTAAAAACTTTGCCCAATGATGTGAAATGTGTGAATTTTATCTGCAACTCCAACATGTAAAGCTCTTTTAGGCCAAGTGCAGTGGCTCATGTCTGTAATCCCAGCATTTTGGGAGGCCGAGGTAGGCAGATCACTTGAGGTCAGGAGGTCTAGACCAGCATGGCCAACATGGTGAAATCCTGTCTCTACTAAATAAAAAATAAGCCTGGCATGGTGGCAGATGCCTGTACTCCCAGCTACTCAGGAGGCTGAGGCAAGAGAATCACCTGAACCCAGGAAGCGGAGGTTGCAGTGAATCAGATTGCTCCACTGCCCTCCAACCTGGGTGACAGGGCAAGACTCTGTCTCCAAAAAATAAAAATAAAAATAAAAATAAAGAAAAGCTCTTTTAGAAGAAAGCAATTCTAGAAAATGATTTGCTTTCCATGAAAAATTGGTTTACTTCTTCTCCCAAATGAGAACTATATAACTTTTAGTTCATGTCCTTCTTTACCTCTATTGTCCATAAATAGAACCAATTCTATGGCCAAAAAAACCATGGTCTACTCATATGTATTTTCATTTCCCTTTCACTGTTACTTATATTTTATTAGCATTTTATTGTAGGACCCAAAATCTTTTCTTGATCTGAGTTTGGATGTAAAAGTCACACAAATGGATATGAAGATGTGAAGGTGATATTATATAATCTTCTAGAAAATTTAGTAAAGAAGAGGACAGGTGAGGTGACAGATTGAAGGGAGAGGCGAGTCAAAGAAAAGCCTTGTCTATAGGCTTGCTGGGAAGAAGGATAAAGAAAATCTGTACCAATGGCTGAGGGAAAGAAACCATAGAGCCCAGGGGCAGTGGTTCACACCTTTAATCCCAGTACTTCGGGAGGCTGAAACAGGAAGACTGCTTGAGCCCAGGAATTTGAGACAAGCCTGAACAACATGGCAAGATTCCATCTCTACAAAAAATACAAAAATTAGCCAGGTGTGCAGTACGCACCTGAAGTCCCAGCTACTTGGGAGGCTGAGGTGGGAGGACTGCTTGAGCCTGGGAGGTGGAAGCTGCAGTGAGCCATGATCACACCACTACACTCCAGCCAGGTGACAGAGTGAGACCCACGAAAAAGAAAGAAAAGGAAAGGAAAAAAGAAAAAAGAGAAAGAAAGAAAAAAGAAGAAAGAAAAGGAAAGAAAGAAAGAAAGAGAGAGAGAGAAAGAAAGAAGACAAAGAAAGAGAAAGAAAGAAAGAAAAAAGAAAAGAAAAAAAAGATAAAATGACGATGAAATGAGCCTTCACCAAAGAAAGGACAACTGATGAAGTCATGCCCTTACTGAGCAGCCAACAGAAGAGCTGATGAAGAACCCAGATGGATGTACTGGGAAATAATGGCTTGCTGCTCCTGCACCGTACAACTAAGGAAAATCAAAGCATCTCAGAAATAAAAAATTCACAACAGCACAGGTTGTTGGAAATGTTCTCCAGTGTCTAATCTTTAAGGTTATATAGTGGCTTGCTTATAATATTTTTCCATTACCTTAATTAATGGAGTTCTCCCAAAAAAAAATCCGAAAAGGTAAGCAGTTATGTCATTGCAGATAACACTTGATATTGGAAGAAGGAACCTGTTAAAAACAAACAAACAAAAAGCAGAAAAAGTTCATGTAAGTGGCAAATACTCACACAGGTTATGATTCATAATAAACCAACAGAATAACCCTCTGGATTGCACTGCAGCCTAGCCCAGAACATAACACTTGCCAAAACAGTAGAAATGATAAATATCAACAAAATTTGCCCACTCGCAATTTAAACAGAGCAAAATCTAAAAATAAACTGGGAAGGAAATAAACACGCTAGGAAAATACTGCTAAGGAAAATATTAACTTACTGATTTCTACAGTTATGAATGTGTACATTTTAGTTTTATGAGGAACATGTTATAATAAAAAAGAAAAGAAAGGCAGATTGAAAGCTGATCTTAAGAAAACCAGCCTTTTACTATGAAAATGAGTCATTTTTTAGACATAGCAAAATCTGATAAATTTATATCAAGCTCTTATTACATATTCTCAATTATTAATTTTAATTCTATCTTAGCTTGTGATTTCAGTAAACTCTACTAATGTACAGAACCTACTTACTTCAGTAACTGCCTCTATCAATGAAAAGTCTGTACAATACATGAAAAACAATCTTAAAATGATTCTGGTTACATACACATACACATACACATACATATACACATAGACAGACACACACACACACAGACACACACCCACACTCTTGGTAAAAAGACATGAAGCTGTCAAGGGAATACGATATATCTTGATAAAACCCACCAACTGTTAAAGATTTTAATTAATGAGTTTAAAATGAACATGGGGAAAGTATGGTTAGTTTTTTAAATCTTAAGCTTTTTCTCCATTTCAACTAATTTTTAAGTTATAATTTTTACCTAACAAAAATGCTTTCTGAATATGCAAGCCACTGCCATAGAGTGATGAATTTCTACAATCTGGAAACCCAGGTCTACATAAGAGCAAAGTAGAAAACCTACCCAACTTTCACCTGAAAAAACATACATATCCTCATAGCAGTTATTAACAAGCAAAGTTTTCTTTGCGTGGGTTTTTTTTTTTTTTTTGCATTCTATGTAAATAATATCTTAGCAAACATTATCTTTAAAGTCTATTTTTGTGAAAAGTCACATTAGGGTTTATTAACACCTGAAAATGTAATTGTTTGGGGCTTTTGTGGGAACTTCCTACATTTTATTTGGAACTTGAATAAGAATGGTATCCAGTTGTTAATGAAGCATTTTGTCTTTAGTTGTCAAATAGTAAGCAAAACTCAGTAAGACAGTTCAATGGAATACAGGAACAACAAACAGTACATTTTAGTAGAAACCTGTAAGATGCTGTCCAATGTTAAAGAGCTATAAAAGTGCTACGACATAACTATAAAGCAGCATAATACTGTTGCCTTACCATATCATGCCTTCAAACAGACTTTGGATGACAAGGTGTGACTGAGTAACAATTATCAGTAAAGTGACATGAGTCCATGCGAACTGTTAATAGCCCAACAATACAAAAATTAGTGAACACAACTGATCAGTGCAGCTGAAGAAGCAACAGCAATACTGAAACACAAATATCTACCATGACTTTGGGTCAAAATGTGTAAGTTAAGAGTCATATAAAATAAACACTGTTAGTAAATTATGTTTCTTTTGTTGCCTACTGGAACCTTCAAATAATGAAAACATTTATTTAACAAAGTAACCTCAATTTATATACAAATAGAATTCCCATAATAGATATAGTACTAAATTTTAAAACATATAAAAAATAAACCATTATCTTGAATCATTAGATTTGTGAATAAGAAAGTGATAATGAGAAATCTCCGTTGATGTTTTAGCATTTAAAGAGGAACACTTTACTCTGGCTGCATTCTGCAGTTATCAAAAAATGCTAAAAATTACTTCAATGACAGTATTCAATTTCAAATTTTTAAAAACCTTTGTGTTTCACCAATTCTACCTAGCCTTAGAGATGGCCACTTTTAACATAAGTAATATGGGTAGAATGTAAACAAAAAGAAGCTAGGGTTTCCATGTACTAGTCTTATAATTTTTATTGAAATTCATAAAATTACTTTTAAAAATTCTTAAGATTTTGATTTATTCTCCCTGGACTCCCACTCTTAAGACAGGGTCTCACTCTCTCACCCAGGCTAGAGTGCAGTGGTGTGATCACAGCTCACTGCAGCTTTGACCTCCCAGGCTCAAGTGATCCTCCTGTCTCAGCCTCCCCAGTAGCTGAGACTGCAGGTGCACACCACCATGCCCAGCTAATTTTTGTATTTTTTGTAGAAATGGGGTTTTGTCATGTTGCCCAGACTGGTCTCAAACATCTGGGCTCAAGGTATCTGCCTGCCTTCGCCTCCCGAAATGTTGGGATTATGGGCATGAGCCATCGACACCTGGCCTTTTGATTTATTCTTAATAAATCTGTTTCTGGTTAAGCAACCATATTATATTGGTTGCCTTATTTTGTTCTATTTTTATCTCCTTAGAAGATACAATTCTCTTTTACCCTGATTGCTTAAAAATTCATAAATTTTTTTCCAATAGATACCATTTATATTTTCACTGGATATTCTACTATTTTTAATTGTCTTGATTGCTGGTACATGAAACTCACTAAGAATTTTACTCTTCATGCTCAGATCCCCTGAAATTAGAAACATAAGAAACACAACAATTACCCAGCAATGATGTTCTACAGAATGTCTTAATGGAGAAAAGCTAAGCATAAAAAACAGAAAATATATTCCAAGTCCAAAATAAGCCAATTACTTAAATTTACAGATCTGAATACTACTTTGCATTGCACAGCGTTACTAGCTACAGTTTTATAAAATAATAAAAGTTCCTATGTAAAGTGTTACACTTCTTAAGATAGGCTTTGGTACATTGCACAAAATACCTTATGCCAAAAAGAATTACAGAATTCTATGACCAAACATAACTACCAAGACAGTACATGCTCTGTTCCTTTATGCTCCTGCCAAGTGCAAGTAAACAGCTACCTTCACAGAACAATATGGTAGTTGTTTCCCAGACTTAGTTACTGATCAGGACACTAAGAAAATTCTTCAAATTTCTACAAATTTAAGAAACCCAAATACTTTAAATTTACAGCCTTTGAAAATATTCAAAGAAAAAGTTTTTAGTAAACTTTGAAAACAGTTTAAATTTTAAAATGCTCACAAACTTCTCAACTTTACTAATTTATATTTAATAGTTATCTGAAATCCAAATATCCCTCACATTCACACAAAACAACAGCTAGCAGATTCGACTGTATCTTCTCACTACAAAAAGAAAAAAAAAGTTAAGGGTTTTTATCACAGATAATGACTAAGGAATAATGGTTAATACACACCATATAAAACTGCAGACGACAATGTTTCTTCACCAAACTCAGTACAAACATGCAGAAACCTGTTCAACAACAAAAAACATGTGCTCATTGTAAATTTGGTACAGAGTTAAGATTCCCTGAGCCCAAATAAACCAATTTCCTATATCACAGCTAGGCATATTTTAGCCATTTAGTCAAATGCCAACTCTCCTACTATCTTATATTATGGATATTAAGTAAGCTTCTTGAGGGAAACAATCTTGTACTCTCCAAAGTGCCTAATATATTCCATGGCACAAATTCAATAAACAGCCTCTGCATTAATTCAATTAATTAGTCCCTTGCTAATATGTGAGCATGGAAAATAGATCTTAAATTTACACAGAATTTATTTGTTATAAAAATACATCAAAAGTATGTACAGAATGTTTTCAATCTCTACATAATAGAAAAATTAATAACATAGCAGCTAAAGTCTATTGAATGCTTACTATTTCTAGGTTCTTATCTAAGCATTTTAACATTAATAATCATAAGCCTTTGTTATCAACTCATTTATCCTTTCAAAATCCCCATAATATAGATACTCATTATTAGCTCCACTTTACAGAGGAGAAATGCACAAAGGGCTTTATTAATTTACTGTGGATCACAGGGCTAGTAAACAAACATTCAAATCCTATTGACCCTTAAGAGTCATGTGGTTCCATAAACTGAGATCAGCAAAATTCAGGTTAAGAGCAATTTGCAATTTCTCAAAACAAGACAATAATTACAGTAAAATGTAATACTCTTAATAATGTAAACACTTACAACAGTATTTGTGTCTAAGTATACATTTTACAAATAACAATGATAAGTTATTAAATTCTAACCAATTAAGTGAAATCCAATAATCATATACTAAAATAATGGGAGGCAATATGAAGCACTTCTTGCCCAAAATACCAGTACACTTCTAAAGATAGGTTTACTTTACAGATGTGGATATTGAAAATACATAAACCAAGTTTAATTTCAGATAAACTGCTATGTATGCATTCTATTCTGCAGCATCTTTTTTTTCCTCTCTCTGTTTCTCACTCTGTGGCCCAGGCTGGAGTGCAGTGACACAATCACAGCTCACCGCAGCCTTGAACTCCTGGCCTCAAGCAATCCTCCCACCTTGGCCTTCCAAAGTACTGAGATTACAGGTATGAATCACTGTACCCAGCCTTTGCAGTATCTTTGAAGAGTGAGTCCTCCAAGATAGAAATTGAATTTTCAGTTGACCAATTCTATATAAAATAAATACTAGACTTTGTATATCCAAGTTATACTTACCAAGGCAATTCTACCAATAGAGTAAACAAAGAAACAAACTAACAAACACTAAACAAAGCAACAAACTAAACAAAGAAACAAACAGCAGCTGCCTTTCGCTACTTTTGATGATCAATTTGAAATGTCAAAGCATAAAGGACCATGACAAAATGAAGACAACGTATATTGACCCCAATCCTATCTCACCTCCTATTTGTCATCTATGAGGTAATCCAACTAACTGGCCTGCACAAGCAATTTGGACACATTTTCTGAGTGGAGGCACAGCTGAAAGCCATTATGTTGCTTTATTGAGAGAAAGACAGAAAAAGAGAAAAAATGAGAGATACTAAAAAATGAAATTAATAGCATTAAAATGGCCAGTTGTATAAAAGATTCCTTTTAAAAGTCCTGCTTTTGAGTTTTTCTTCTATAGCAGGTAGACTTATCTTGAAGGTCAAGTAATAATGTAATTTCTATGCTATTTGGTTCCACTGATCCATGATTAAGGATGAACGCAGACTGGACTTGGTTCAAAGGCCAATGGGTAAGAGCAAAGCAGAGACACAAGACAGAAACCATGTTTTCTGTCCAAACAGACCCCTTGACTCTCCCAGCACAGCCTTGGGAACTTCTCAATGTCATTAAATATGAATTACCTACTCACAAGTACTACTCCAAAATATATGGTTTTCTTTTTCATGAAATTATAACACCATTCACCCTCACATTTCTTCAAACAAAATTACCAGTAGAATCATTTAACATTTTCCTAATGAACATTTTATCCAGGGCAGCCTTGGCAACTCACATTTACCTGATCCAATTTCACCTATGGGATAATAATTGTCTTGACTCCTAGACACATTAATAATCTCTGACTTCCTCCAAGTCAGAGAATGTATCTAGGAGTCAGATAATTAACTGTCTAACTTAAAAATATATTTATATTATGTTTTAATAAATCTATGGAAAGGGTAGCTTTTTGTACACTTGGATCCATAGTTTTTATTTTTTCCTGATTAACAAAGAATGGCTGTATGACTACTTCTAAATTAAAATGACAGAATGTGTTGTAGAACTATAAATAAAAGCACTGAAAAGCATCCTAATATATAGTGCTTTACATAAAAGTTATACTTATCATCATTTATCTGTATAATATTGTGTCTGGTGTTCTCAATACAAAGGTACATATATTGTGTTGCCCAGCATCAGAGCTCTCCGGTGATTAGGCAGATACCCAATAAACTAAAGAAAGATATATTTAAAAAGTACAAGAGAATGCAAGTGCAGTGTCCTATGCCTATAATCCCAACAACCTGGGTGGCCAAGGCAGGAGGATAGCTGAGGAGGCCATGAATTCAAGACCAGCCTAAGCAACACAGCAGGATCCTGTCTCTAAGAAATAAAAGTAAAAATTAGCTGAGCCGGGTGGCACACATCTGCAGTCCCAGCTACTTGGGAGGCTGAGGCTGGAGGATCATTTGAGCCCAGGAGTTTGAGGCTGCTGTGAGCTATGATCAAGCTATTATACTCCAGCTTGGGCCACAGAGCAAGTCACCATCTCTCTCTCTCCTTTTTTTTTTTTTTTTAAAAAAAGAAGAGGATGAAGATTTTTAAGGGGGTCAGGAAAAGTAAAGGAAAAAACACAAGATACTGAAAAGCCTAACAGATGAGAGAGAGGGAATTTCAGAAAAATAGATAAAAAATATTTTTCCAGCACCTATCATATGCCAGAAACAAGAAGCAAAAACAAATTAAGATAGGCACTGTCAGCCGGGCGCGGTGGCTCAAGCCTGTAATCCCAGCACTTTGGGAGGCCGAGGTGGGTGGATCACGAGGTCAAGAGATCGAGACCATCCTGGTCAACATGGTGAAACCCCGTCTCTACCAAAAATACAAAAAATTAGCTGGGCATGGTGGTGCGTGCCTGTAATCCCAGCGACTCAGGAGGCTGAGGCAGGAGAATTGCCTGAACCCAGGAGGCGGAGCTTACGGTGAGCCAAGATCGCGACATTGCACTCCAGCCTGGGTAACGTGAGTGAAACTCCGTTTCAAAAAAAAAAAAGATAGGCACTGTCATTCAGGAGCTCATACTCTTGTGGAAGACACCAAAAACTAAGAAAAAAATAAAGTTGTTTTTTAAATTTACCATTGATCATTAGTCAAAATTTAGTAAACATATGTACTCCTTAATTCAAAAAACAGACAGTAGGATGGGCCCAGGATTAGCTTCTGACTCATCTATCATTCTTTCACTTGGTTATATTCTTCATTACACTTGCCAAAACCATCAAAACTTTCTAGCATCAAATTAAATAAATTCAAAAGCACACTGCATTGCTTGCCTTTATTCAGACACGACTACAACTGAGTGGTTCTGAAAAAGTTTTAAATGAATATGCACTGTAGAGATTGTCATACAAACCAATCATCATATTAGTTAAGATTTTTAAAAGTTTTCTATTAATCTGAATGGTTAGTCTAAGGTATAGAACCAATACTAGAATGCATATAGAATTTAGTAGTCTTTAATTCAGAAACTTTAAGTAGTTTGGAGATACAGTCTTTTGTGAAATTATTTGTGACACTTTTTTAAAGATTTCATTAGTATCCTCTGATATAAAAGATAGGATGTTTGGGGAAAACATCTTAATTATGCATTAATTTTAGCTATACCTTAGTTTTATATGTCCATCAATTTTCTTGAACTGAAAGCATAACATTCAAATCATATTATCTCCATAAGAACTTTAAAGAAACCAAAATAGCTATGCATGCACATACACAAGCAAAAAATAATTTATTAAACATAATATGCACATCACTCTAGTTGGATAAAGAAATGTAAGGTAATGATATTAAGGGTCAAAGACCTTAAGTTTGTTTACCCATCACTGCTAACCATGTAATCTCATGACTGCTCTGGTTTCTAAAGAGCCCCAATTCCAAATCACCAAGTTGATGAGTTCTTTCTAACATAAATCTAGACTCTAGAGAAAATGTTTGTCTTATTATTTTTAGTCTCCCTGATTTTCTCTGCTATCAGTCACTCATTTTGCAACAAAATTATCTAAATGCCAAGATAACTTCCAGGTCAGAGTCAGTGAGACACTTTGTATAATATTAAACAAGTCATTTAATTTCATGGAACTCGATGAGGGGGTCAGAACTGGAGATACCTACATTTTATTTAAATAAAATTCAATGTCAATGAAGAAGCTTGAACTGTCTCTGCTTTTTAAATCTGGTAAGACATGTATTGTCTGAAGTCATTTAACCACTATAATAGAACTAACATTTTGACAGGGCCCTTGAAATATTGTTTAGCTAAAAAGACTTGCAAAGATTTCCACAGCACAATTTGAAAGAAAGGTACAAATATCTCAACGTTAGCACACTTTCTATTTCCATAGTCCTGTTTCAAAGTCTAGCTCCATTACCTGGACTAAGCTCACAAATGTTGCTAATCACTTCAAGAGTAGCCACTAAGGCCTCAAGACTCAGCAAACAAAACACTGATGCTAAGGAAGTATCACTAAGAAGCACTGTGTGTGGATGTGCATGTTCTCAGCCTTTTAATCATTTATCCAGCAAATACACATGGGGACCCTAAATGCTGGACCTGCACTGTGCTCTGGAAATTAAACAAACATGAGAGGTACACCATGGGTGCTTTTGGTCTAACCAAGCCATTTTTAGGCCACCCTTAAAATGATAATAGACATAGAATTCTATACATGTTTTATACTGGAAGTCACGTCATTTAACTAAG